CCTAGTGTTGCATGAATCAAGATTGATTTCTCAGCCAGAGGAACATAAATATTTTAAATAATGTGTGCATGATTGAATATTGTAGAGTCATGATCAGCCTGTTTTTCTCTTAATTCATCCTAAGAAAAATCACCACTGTGCTTCCCATTTGCACCAACCCTTCTGAACTGATGCACACAACAAAGCACCATATAACTTAATAATACTAATGCTAACTGTATATAGCACTTTTCTATAGGGGACTTGGCCAAAACACTTTACACTACATTCATTCACCATTACACGCACACCAATACAAACACTGCAGGCTAGATTGTAGCCACAGCTGCCCCTGGGTCAGTGACATAAGCGAGGCTTCCGTACACAGGCACCACTGGGCCCTCTGACCACCATCTGTATGCAAAGCGGATGAAGCATCTTGCGCAACGACACAGCACCGAAAGCCAGAACCAGGGCTTGAAACTACAACCCTTCTGCTGCAGGGCAAACTCCTGTATCTGATGCCACAGAGGGGTGACAGGGGTAAACAATGAGTTTAGCGCTGCAAATCAATGCCAATTTTTCACCTCCTGTAATTTCTTTTTTTATTATTAATCAGATCCCACACTTCAAATGAACTGGTTATTTGCATTAAATTGTCTTTCAGAAGGCAAAGCTGAGCATCATGTTTAATATACAGGTTTTGAGTTGAGGTTTATTGATGAATATGATGACAGAAATACTTGTTGGAACAAACTGGAAGACTTTTTGTGTCACGAACTTTTCTTTCCTGTATTCAAGAGAAACTCAGAAACTACAAGTTCTTCTATTTTATTCTTATGAAAACTGTACCTAGGAAGGACTCACTCTGCAAGTGGTAGATCTATAGAAAATGTTTTCTTTTGCTGATGGCTTCACTATCAGGGAAGATAAAAGTCTAACTTGAAATTTTAAAGAAACAGTGAAAGATGAATCTTATGTAATTTTTTGTGAAATCATGCCTACCTCATCATCACTTCTTGTGTTCTATGATTCATGCACTTAGTCAACGGTGTAGAAGGAAGTATAAGACTTCTGTGGAAAACTTGCATTATGTATTAAAGGAACTGCATAAAAACATATTAAGATAACTTATTTTCCTTGAACTATCAAAGTGCTGGTTTATAGTATGTATTTCACGTTGTTTTCTTATTTTATTGAGCTTTTTTAAGTCCAGACTAAGATAACAAAAGGTGACTTATTTAAACAGTGGTAGTTTTTCTTAAATTCAATGATATTCTTATTATGTTATCTAATTGCAATTGTGCAATTTTTGCTGAAATTTTACTATGATTCCCTTAAAAAGGATGCTTTTAAAATCCTATTGGGACTTATGAGAAAGACAATAAATAAAAGATTAATTAAAAAAAAATACTACAGATTTAGACAACCATGTTAATAAAAATGTTATTAATGAAATTTTATGTAATTTTTACCAGAGGTTATATATTGCTGTTTGCGTCGGAATCGGCTATTATTGATCCTTTTTTTTAATATACATTAATGTCTATCTATAAATATAAATGTCAGTGTATTTTGGGTCTTTTGTGTTCTCAACAATAGGAAAGCAATTAATTCAACTCATATATTTTTGAGCTAATTTTTGGAAAATACAAACCCTTTTGAAAGCATTTGTGTGGAGTAACTGTAGGTTCATCAGCCCCCACCCTAAGAGTGTCCTCACCAACTTTCATCAGAAAGTTACACCCTTGCATCCAATTACCCTAGTTTTCGATAAATGTGGATGCCGCCAATGATCTGCATTGGATGGCACACATGACGTGAAATAAACATCTATAAACATTAAACCGACGCCAAGACTATCGAGTAATGTTTGTTTTAAAAATGTAAGGAATAGAAATCACAGATACTGGTGTGAAAATTTCTTATTGCTTCTATATGTAGTAATTGCAGTATTTTTTGTTTGAAGAATTTTTCTGCTGCATTTCTTTATGTAGCTTTGCTCTTTTCTAAGCATTTTAGAAGCTATTTCTACCTAAAAACACATGACTGATATAGATAATGAATAGTTTCAGCGGTAACATTTATGAATGCATGCTTCCGGCACCTGTGTAAGGGTAAAACATTTTTCAATGTAATTACTTCTTGAACTGTTCCTATATCTGATTTATTTGTAAATGGTTAATAGCCCACACTTGCATAGTGCTTTATTAAGTTCATGAATCCTAATATGCTTTACACTTCATTCAGCCATCCTTCCATTCATACACAAACCACACACTAATGGAGGAATTCAATTCAATTTAATTTTTTTACGGAACGCCAATTTATAACAAATGTAATCTCAAGGCCATTTATGGATACAATTTGATCAAATCATACAGATCAAAGAAATAAAATATGATCGATAAAAGGAAATTTAGGTAATCTGGACAAATAAAAGTGCTGAAATTAATTGTTGGACTCCTTTTAGATATGATCTGGCCTTTGCTGATGACATATACTTAATGTTTTATGACTGGAATTACAACTGGAGCTTTAATATTGATTCTGAGGATACTCCTCTGAGAGACTGCTATGAGAAGATGCTTTTTATTGTTTTACATTACATATACTGTGATGGATTTGAGTAGAAATATGGGCATCTTATGTAGTTATTTTCACTCTAAAGGACCAAAAACAGTTATGTTGACCTTAAAACGTATACATCTGTGGAAAACTAATTGGGAGAACTGTTTTGTAATCATGAAAGCCTTGTGTTGAGTGCAGATTAGAAATAAAAATCAATGCATTAAATGCATTATGTAGTTTAAGGGCTGAATGTGAACATCTGCCTCAACAGGGCCCACCTTTAGAATAGTCAGGCTTTATAACATTAAACCTAAACTTTCATATTAATGCTGATTGTAATTTTATTCCGGAGGTCTAAATGATGCCATCTTTGTTACTTTCTTATCTTATCTTACTTATCTTTAATTAAACTGTGTACTTATTTAATCATTATCTAAGCACCTTGATTACAAGCATAGGTTTGATTTAGCCTCTCTTCTAATTACTGGAAACTAATGTTTCTATATTTTCTTTATTCTCAAACAAACATTTCATATCATTGGTTTTGCATCTGTAGTGGCTAAAATCCTATATTCTAGGCTGCTGGTTATTATTCCTGAAAGGCTTTGTTTTTACTGTGCTCAATAAAGATAATAATAATGCCAATCTTTAGTTTGACCTAAAATAAAATAATTTCATAGAAGAACAATGGCTATAGTTGTATTACTTGCCCTTTACATCAATATATAAATTTGACAATGATCGGAACCGAACACAGTAGAAAATTGCCTCCTCTCATTAACAACAGCTGACCAGAATCATGGTTGACCTTAAATAATCCCATCCCCCATCAAACAATTGGAAATTCAAAATTAAGTACGTCCCCTGGTGGCGATGAATTAAGGACAAACGGCTCCTACACCATCTTTAAAAATATTATTACATAGATTTGTTTATCCAATATGATACGCAAGCTTGTTTATCATTAAACATTTCTACCATTAAAATAGGAAAACAAGACAATCAAGATCTATCATCAACTAATCCATGTCACTAAGCTCTGAGTGCGATCTAGTTGGATTTCTAGGAATATTGGGCCATGGGGTGATCGATCCANAAAAAAGTTTTTGTCTGTCAATATTCTCCATCCAGAACTCCTCCAAAGGAAACGTTTAAACGTTTATGTTTCACCTGGTTTCATTTCATAAAAGATCTTCTTTAAGGAGCCTTTGTCTATCTGATTAAAAGATAAAATAAAAGAAATCCTAACGTTGTTAACTAACATTTCTCAAGTTCCACAAATCAAAAAACTATCTCCTGCTTCTTTACAGAACTCCAATCAGAAGCTTTCGCCTGTTTTAGTGTAGATAATATATTTTTTTTTTATTTGGACTAGTTTCGTAGCCCAATATTAATTTATTTTAGCGTCTTTTTTTCGCGGTCCAAGCACCCGCGCGTGCGCACATACAGAATAGAAAACATGCAATCAGAGAGAGAGAAGGCGGAACTTAAGGCAGAATAATCAGAGAGTTAAACCGCGCAGCACAGTTGATGCGCTGCTATGTGAAAGGGACAGAAAAGAACAGGCAGCTGCAGCTACCAGGCAGAGAAGCTGCGAGAGGAAAAGAAGCGGCTGCTGTATAGTAAATTATAAACATGTTGTTTACATCCAATTATTGGTAGGGACAAACAGGTCCGTCCTAAATTTTGGTAGGGACATGTCCCTATGGTCCCTATGCAAACCTACGCCCATGGCTACGCTCTACCCCTTATATTCGTTCGGCTAGCTAATCTGAATTGTTCAATTCCATTTTGAGAGCGAGATCACCTGTGGTAGTAGCACTAGACATCTTCCAGGCATGTGAGGAAAACTAGCAGCAGTTCAGCGGACAGGATGAATGAACGGTAGCTGGCGCACGCTGATGACGTCATGCACACTCCGCTTTGTTTAAAAAAAAAATATATATAAAAAGTATAACTGCGGATGTCTGGGGGACAGTGATTTGCCTACATGTTCTGAATGCTGGCGTACCATAAAGAATGAATTATGAACAGTTTAGTTTGTGCCTTCAACTTGTTGCCCATAGGAAGACGTTACTTGGATATAACCTAACCGAATATTTTCAGAACAGCTCCTACTGACACAAAACTAATATGAGTGAGTAGAACATGATGTAACAATGTAAAATCAAGGTCCCAATGTAAAAAAAGAAAAAGGTGTTCCCCTTTAACTCACCAAAGAATGCAATTACATTCTTTTATTGCTGTTTTATTGCCAAAACTGGGCAATGTTTTTCCAAAAAATGGTAAATGGCCAAATGTAAAAAAAAAACAGTGTTCCCCTTTAATATAACAACAATGTCCACAGTATTACTATTTGCCCTTTACATATATTTATAAATACAACACCGATCTGAACCGAAAACAGTTAAAAACTATTGCCTCCTCAACAACAGCTTACCAGAATCATGGTTGACCTTAAATAATCCCATCCCCCATCAAACAATTGGAAATTCAAAATTAAGTACGTCCCCTGGTGGCGATAAATTAAGGACAAACGGCTCCTACACCATCTTTAAAAATATAATCACATATATTTGTTTATCCAATATGATATGCAAGCTTGTTTATTATTAAAGATTTCTACCATTAAAATAGGAAAACAAGACAATCAAGATCTATCATCAACTAATCCATGTCACTAAGCTCTGAGTGCGATCTAGTTGGATTTCTAGGAATATTGGGCCATGGGGTGATCGATCCAAGGAGGCAGTCTGGACAGTTTCTCTTCAGTGGCTGGTTTGATGGGCCATCCCCAGGCTTTGAAGAATCCAGTCAGGTTCATCTCTGTGGCTTTGGAGAAAGTCTCGGCGTAGAGGTTCATCTTTTCTTCGTTGTGTACAGGAAAGTTCCTCATGTCATGATAGCGAGCAAACACTCTCTTAAAGACAGCCCAGCCAAACCTTTCCTGGAGCTACAAGAAGTAAAGAGTTAAGATTATGCAGATGTTTTTGTTTTTTTGTTTTGATGAGCAATGAGCCACACAGATAGCTCATTTAATACAATTACTAATTTACCTAGTGAATAAAATAATTTTGACTATAACATTTTTATCACAATGTGATTTATTGTTTGTGTTCTAACCTGCAGGTATGTCTCCAGAGCAGTCCAAACCTTCCAGTTGCTGAGCTTCCTGCCCTCTTTAACGTACTTCTCCACCCATTTCTTCCGACTCTGTGAGGTCATCTCGGGATGAGCCTGTCGATTGCAGATATGAATTATAATATATAACATTCACTGGAGGTTAAAAAGACCTAATTTCACAACATGTTTGAATTCTGTAAATTAAATTAAATAAATTATTAATATTGTTATATTATAATATTATATATTTTTATAAATATCCATAACTAAATAAATGAAACATCAATATAATTTCTGATAAAGGTAAGTCTCCCAGTCTGAGTTATTATTTCTGCAAATGGCATAAAATAATGGCAAATGGAAGTACACAGAAAAAAAATAATGCAACCGTTTCTAGCATTTACTTAATCATATTTAGTTACACACAATTGTTTTATGCCCTACCCTGCTAACATGAAACAATTGTGTTAAAGTAACCAAATATGCCAAAAATGGCTTCTTTTTCAGTGTAGGACCACAGTTTGGAGTCGGAGGAGCTTATTTCTTTTTTTTATTGGGTCATCCTTGTGTAATAGTAGTAGTAGTAGTAGTAGTAATAATATGATTAAGAGACTGAACTGGACTTGAGAAAACAAAGCCTCTGTGGCCTAGTGTCTGTTAAGAAAGAGAAAGTAACCTTTGCTCTGTTGAGTCCCAACACCTCCTCATGCACGTAAACTGACCAAAGGTTACATGTGGCTTCTGTAGTGTGGGGACTAAACTCCCAGCAGGTTCTCTGTTGATTGTGTCCCAGTTCATGAACTTCTCCCCACAGACCTTTGGTTCTTGCATCCTCTGGGTTAAACAGCTCACCTCCTATTGAAGAGTGCATCATAATAGGATAGCCGGAATGCAACCACCCTGCAAAGAAGCAGAAAAAATCTGAGTTTAAATATCTCTGGTATCAAAATGATTTTCTACTCTTCAGCCATGTGCTTTCCTCACAGCCACAATACTGCTGTGTAATAAGTTTCTTCTCAACTAAATATGTTTTTTATCATGGATGAAATACTTTTGGGTCATCAGAGAAGGGTAACAGTTTAGAAAAGAAGTCTTTGCACAAAGTATTAAAGCTAGATTTTAGCAGGATGATGTACATGTTTTACTGAAACTGTGTTCAATTATCCTTTTTGTTGCATTTTTACCATTTCATTGAAGGGTTAATATCTACATTTTTTATTTTAAGTTCACAAGCCTAGATTATAACAAACTCATCTGTCCTAAATATGCTATTGCATCAAATGGGCTTAGTTTTGTTTTGTGATGTATTTTTAATACCTCCGCCAAGTGGTTATGTTTTTAGGAGAATTTCTGTATGTTTGTCTGTCCTTCTGTTTACAGGATATGTCATGATCTCAGGGCTGATTACTGGCTCAATTGCTCATTTTATTCACCTGTATAACTCTGCCCTGTTTCTCATCACTCCTCATCTGACCACCTGCTCCTGCTTCTATTTAAACTGCTTGATCTTGCCCATCAGTGCCAGATTATTCCTGAGCCTTAAGTGAGTATTTTTCTGGCATTACTGTTTTGTGTTCTTATTACCATACCCGTTTCTGTCTTTGGACCTTTGAGTCTGCCTGCCCCTGTTCTGATCTGTTTGCCTGACCTGTCTTCAGATTCTGGATCTGCCTCTTGACTTTGCCCTCTCCGTCATCTGCTCGGAACTGATCTCCTGTCAGTTCTGCATCCTTCAAGGCTTCGCCGTCTGGAACTCTATGCGACAAGTGTTGTGTCTTTTCAGCTGACCGGCTGCTATCAACCTTGTTCTCTGGGAACGGTCTGAACCCTAAGCCAGGTTAGTGACTCAGTTCAGATCACGCTCCATCAGCTTTTCGCGGTTTGCTCTCTCGCCAGAGTTACCTGCCTCAGATGCCCTAGCTGCTGCTAAACTGTCCATCGTTGCTTTAATAAACGTTTTTTTAATTATTCCACTGTCTGTCTTGCCTAAATACTGGAGTCATTATAGGATAACTTGAAAAATTCTGAACAGTTTTTAATTACATTTTTATAAAGATTCACCTCAGTCCAAGAAGCAATCCATTGAATATTGGTGATGATACACATAATCTGGCTAGCAGACTTTTTTTTTTTAAGGATTAATTTACATAATTTTTTGGAAGAAGCAGTTTGCTCCTAAGCCAGAGTGTGGAAGCAGTGACTATTGACAGGTTCAGCATCTGACTCAACAAAGAAAATAGTCCAGAAGTATTATACTGAAGACAAAAACACAGTAAACATGAGAAATGCTTTGCTCGAAGTCTCAATCCACTGATCAAACAAGCAAAGTGAATGAAGAAGGTGGGAGCAGAACAAACACCAGAGGCTGCAGCCACAAGCTGTGGCTTATTTATAAAATTATAAAAGGATTTTAAGGAAATTGTTACCAAAGGTGCCCCTCATACCAAGGAACAATTCATAAAACTTTGGTAATGATCATGTGTGAGATTTAACCTCAGGTGTAAGTCACAATGTGGGGCAATATTCACTGCTTGGTGGAGGGCTGTGCTCTGCGAGTGCTTTTCTAGTTTTAAATGCATCAGTTTCTCAGATGGACATGTTTTCCTGTCTCTTCACAAAAATGCAGGTATTAAAGTAAAAAAATAAGGATTACCCAGGTAGAGATTTTCTTGGTCAAACTTCCTGTTGTCTGGAAGAATATGGAACTGACTTCATCCATGTTGTTTTGTTTTTTAATCCTTTTCTTATATAAAAAGTTATGTTAAATCCAAAGCTTTTGTTGTCAAGTTTTTACATTTTTGATTGAGCAAATTTTAAAATTATGGTCAGAGAATTCCCAATACCCTACATTTTAATGAAAGAAAGCACTCTTACCAGCTGAAATCTGCACATCAGCCACAATGCGTTCCTTGCGTATGAATTTCTGTGGAATGACAGCCAGGTCTGCAACACCCTTCATGATGTCATTCCAGATTTTCCCCACCTCCAGAGGGCTCTCCAGGTCTCGAACGATGTGCGACGGTACAGTGAGGATGATGTTGTCAAACTCCATCTCTGCCCAGGGTGCCGGAGCTTGGCGCAGAGAGGACCAATCAGCTGCTGTTGTTACCCCTAAGTTAATCAAAGGGTGGATAGTATGATGAAAATATCTACAGAATATTACTAATAAATGTAAGTAACAAAAAGTTGGAAAAGTTTGCAAATAGAACAAAATAAAAAACCTTTATTTTGCCACATCAGGAAAAATTTGGTGTAAAAGTGTCAAAAACAAGTGCATACAAGATTTACACCTATGACAGTATAGTATAAAAAACTAAATTTCAAAAGTTAAGGTGTAAGTTAAGGTGAAATTCCACACTAGCAACATTTACATGGACACAATCGGATTGAAGGCCGGATCAGATTAAATATGTTTAATGTAAAAATGTTAGACTGGGTATTCTAATCCGATTCCACCTAAAGTAAATATATTCCGATATTGAGATTTTTTTATTTTTCCAAGTCATTCTGAGTGGGGTCCATACACACACCTGTTCTGATCATTTGGGTGTAATTATCTCCATTACATGTTTACAACACCAGCATGAGCGTTCTTTACTCCTACTAGCAGCATTGGAAAAGAGGTAAAAACCTTTAAATATCAAAATATTTTATGAAACTATGCATATACATATTCTAAGTCGAAATATAACTGAAAAAAAAAATGTTTGCTTGTGTATCATCCTCTGATAGCCCAGGTTAAAAAATATCTTTTAAACATATTCTGTGTATTTCCCATCTCTACCTTTAGCATTGTAATTGTGAAGGCACATTAATATAGTGGTTTACATGATAATTAATTTCTTTCATCCATGTTTTCAAATTTTGAAAACAGAAGGGAATATTTACCAATATTTACTTTGCAAGAGATCATCAATGTGAAAAGGTAGAACTGGAAATTGTGAACAGAATGCATGAAATATAAAAACATCAAGTTCTATTTCATCCCTACTGACCGCCAGAGGGCGGTGCTGAAAGCACTGAATGTTCCCTTCGGGCATGCGCAGTTCGAGTAATTATACCAACAGAGTCACACCTGTGACACCCGATGACCACTCAGAAGCTATGTAGCCTGGTGTCATCCTTTGCTCTGCTCCTTTTTTCTTCTCGCAAGCGGTTTGCTAACTTCCCCGTTGTTTAAAGCCCCTGTCTCTTGACTGGAGTTGCGGTTATTCTCAGCCCTCTCAGGGCTGCAACGGGTCGATTCTGAGGATTACGGAAGGTAAGTGAGTTGTTTGCTGGTGATGGTAGCGTCCGCGCCCCCTCTCCCGGCTTTTTCTTAGCATTTTACCTACATCTTCGTGCTGTCTTGTTTTGAACTGGTGACGGCAGCGATTTCGCCCCTACTCCCAGTGTGAACAACTTCACTGCCGAAGTTATATACGGCTAACGTATTTAGCTTCTTTAGTTTGTTGGTGTTATACCTGGTGACAGCAGCGGTTTTCGCCCCCTCTCCCAGTATATGCCCTACTTTTGCAGCCTTTCTTTCCCTGGTCTGCGTTGTTATAATTACTCACGGCAGCGGTTTTCGGTCCCTCTCCCAACCAAGTGTGGTCAACTTCGTTTGCCGAAGTTGGAGACGGCTAACGTTGGTAGCCTTTTTTGGGTTTTTTTGCAGCCTTTTTCGTCGGTCTGCTCTGTTATAAATGGTGATGGCAGCGTTTTTCTCCCCCTCTCCCAATATCAACCTTTTTTGCAGCCTTTTCGTTGGTCTGCTCTCTTAATTGGTGAGGGCAGCGTTTATCACTCCTACTCCCAACTTAAGTTGCCATACAGCTAACGTTGTTAGCTTTTTTGTTTATTGCCTTTATACCTGGTGACGGTAGCGGTTCTCGCCCCCTCTCCCAGTATCGGCCGCCTTGTGTTCGCAGCTTCTCTTGTTTTATCCGCTATAATTGGTGATGGCAGCGTTCTTCGCTCCTACTCCCAACTTAAGTTGCCATACAGCTAACGTTGTTAGCTTTTTTGGTTTATTGGTTTTACACCTGGTGACGGTAGCGGTTCTCGCCCCGTCTCCCAGTATCGGCTGCTTTGTGCTCGAAGCGGGCCAAACCTGACCAGGGCCTGTCCACAAGGGTGGAGCAGTTGTCAGCAGAGCTGGCAGAGATGAAGTCCTTGTTGCAGACACGGCAATCTGATCCCTCGCTCCCAGTGGTTGGGCTCTCTTCCCCACCAATGCCCGAACTGGTTGTAGAGGATGACGTCATCTCTCTGGCTGCTTCCGCTTCTCATTTTAGAGATGAGGAGGAGGCAGGGTCCTCTCAAGCCTCTGAGGCTGGTTCATTT